ATCAATGAATAAATAGATTGTTCATCTTAAACCATCATAAATAATATTCTCTCTCAATTAAATACACTAAATATATAAATCAAAATAAAAGTTTTTATTCAACATTGTTTAATTGTTTAATTAATGATGAATTTTCAATAGTTTATAAATACTAAATTCACTTGGTTTTGTTTGCTTGTATCACCCCTATTACACAAGTAAGTGGCTATCAGGACTCAGTAGCTAAGTGGATAACACAATGATATTTGAAGTCAACGGTACTGAGTTCAAGTCACGAGTAAACATTAACTCTAAGATGCATGTTGGTCGGTTTCCGGAGAACTTCAACGGAGCCTCCAGAGGCCCAAAAGGAGCCGAAGAGTCCTAGCCAATCAGAGTATGATGGAACGTTCGAGGATTTAGCGTGGCGTGCTATCATTGGTCGGTAGCATAATATAACGTTAACGGATTGGCTGAAATATGATGTTGATTTAACAAACGCCAACATCTATAAATACCCTTGATTTTCTGTACAAAAATGAACTTGGGATAAAGTGTTTTCTCTCATACTTGTGTCTTCTCTCTGGAGTTCAAGTCGCTGTGTAGTTCTAGACTGCGGGTTACCGGAATAGCTTAGGAATCGTATATAGCGTTCAACCTACACGACTTATCAATGCAGGTATATTCAATTGACGAGTCCCAAATAGGATGAAACATGCATCCTACATTCTATTGCCAGCCATTATCTATCATTGCATATAAAGATTATAAATATTGTTCAAAAAAAATTGTATATCTTTCAATAATACATGTTTATTAGCTAATTGAAACACATACCGCGTTTGTTCATCACTGAATCAACTAATCTATCCAAACCTGAAATATTTTAATTGAAAATAGTAATACAATTTCACATAAACAAAAAATTCACTTATAGAATCATAAATTCTACGTAATTGATACTTAGATTATGTAAATATATGTTTATCTAGTCACTTGAGACTTGCCCATTTAATATACTTGTATATAATATTAATTAAGTAAGATTTATTACAGATTATAACCTCATGGAATATAACATACAAATCAGTATTAGGTTGTGGAGATTGTTGTGTTTTTTTTTATTGTGATCATGAATCGATGAATGTTAAACTAACATTGAAAATGTGAAAGCAATGAACGACTGTTTCGTCCTAGTATGGGACGACTCAGTAGTAATTAACTACAATCCTGCATGTAGGATTCGAACTCAAGATCTTCGGTCTCTCATGAAGACGCTTAACCTCCAGACCATGTTCATGTCTAACTTCAAGTTAATCCATGATGTTGCACGACTATCTTCTCATGTACACGATTGTGGATTCACATTGCTAAAGAGTTTCATACTAGGAACAAATAGTCATCTAGTATTTTCAGGTTCTCAATAATAGTCTAACATTCATCGATTCATGATCTTAATCAAAAACTCAGACAATAATGCTTCATAGTATTAGGTCATAAAATGAATTTGGGAATGTTAAACTATCTTATAAGATAGGTATACAATGAATTTATATAGAAATATAGATAAAATATAGTACACTTATTTTTAATTAAAGATAAAACAATATTTTGAAAACCTTTTTGTACCTTGTCCAAAATTAGATTTATGAAATAAATCTAATGCAAAATTAAAACATTCAATATCTAAAATTCATCATTATTATTAGAGTATTCATTGTATTTTCACATACATTTAGTGAATGCTTCTTCATCAATTGAATATATTCGGAGAAGTCTATCTAAAATTTAATATAATATAAAGTATATTATAACCGATAAATATATAATACCAGTGTTATTTCACAATGAATTCAGGATAACTTAAGTATATTTTTATATTATCAAATAAACTTAAATCATAAATCAATTGTAGCTAGACCATTATGAAAAACCTGAAAGTACTGGATGGCCATCTCGTCCTATTGTGAGACGCCTCAGCAGTGCGCATTCATGATTCCGCTACGTGAGATTCAAATACAGGATCTATCGATCTCGCAAGAGAACGTTTCATCTCTAGACCACTAATCCAGCATCCAACGATGTTAATGTCTAACTTCAACTAATCCACGAAATTTAGTGACACACTTCTTCTAGGTTTCCCATGGTGGTCTAGCTTCAAATGACTCATGATCTCAACTATTAAAATTAATATAATAACCACGAAAAAAACCCACTTCCGAAATAAACTTTCTTGATAAACATAAATAGTTGGCAGTCAATTCTATTCTGTTAATAATTACTATTAACTACTGATCAAATTGACATGATCTAATCATTAAATAGCTGCTTGAAATAGTTCGGATTTATTTATCAGAAATAAACGAATGTTTTTTAATTGTTTAAAATCTATCTGTCTAGTAGATCCGATCTGCTGATACATTTTGTTGTCTACAATAATTCGTAGTTTATTCTACTTGTTATATCCTAGTGAAGATTACATTACGAGTAACTTCTGAGAACTGTTGATGAACTTATATATATATATATATATATATTATATATATATATATATATATATTCTTGTTGTATAACCGTTCAGTAATTAGATTATGTATATCTATATTCCTCTTATTATAAGCTTCATTTTGACTCATAGACTATTATGATGAGATTTACTGTTCTTAAATTATGCTCATTTGATTAATTATTGTCTCCTATGTTCACAGCCACATTTTGACTTGATCTTGTGTAAATGTTATTTCCTATTTCATGGTGTAATGCGGTTTGTTTAGCTGGTATATAAACCATGTATATTCGAAATAAATGATTCGTATAGTAGAAGCTGTTATTGGCGTTCTGGACTCAATTAGATAGGCTAGGTGAACAAAAACAGAAACCAAATAAGAACACTAGGCTGCTCATACAAGTCAATTGAGGAATAAATCACGTCATAACTAGCCGGGTTCAAAATCACAACACTATTGATATTCTTTGTGTCTTATTGTGATGGGTACATTTTTTTGATACAAAATTAAAGTGTTATTAATAGAAATCAGCTTTTCAAGTAAAAATTATTTATATATATGAATTTATGAATAAATTACCTATTTCTTGCTGTACTTGATAATCTGCATGATGTAGACTCAATGCGAATTCGTCTAAGTTAACTGCAAATTAAATATTAGTTCATTTTAACACCTTGATCAATTACTTCTAATTAAAATGTATCAGTTTAGATAGTTACTTTTATGCCCATTTCATTTGACATAAAAAACATATTTGTGGAGTATATGTTAAAATGATATCAGTTAAGTGATCGGCTTAGGGTATTCATTTGTTCTAATCTATTTATCTAATCTATATATGTATATTTATTATAACAAAATAGTTGTTCTATCTCTATTTACATTGTTCTATACATTCCATAATGTTTTTGAATGTCAGGGTTTTTGATTAACGTATCGTTCCACGTTTAGTTGTCTCCACAACGTCACATCAATATACTTATTCAACTTGACTGTTTGCATGTCGAATACAAATCAAATCCTTAGAGCGATAAGTCAGCTGATTTAAGAGTGTTGTCAAACATGAAGACTAAACGGTATGATTG